GTTAAATGTCGTTTTGATGATATAGTATTACATATAACATAACATACAACATATAACATATTTTATATGAAGTCACAAGTTAGGAGCACGCCCATGACCAGGACAATTTTCGGTCATGTTACAATTTTATACATAGGCAAGGTAACCAAAATCGCTGCCCATGTTCCTTACATTTGGATCCGACAGGCCGATGCCCCCGGGGCTGGGGCCCTTTTCTCGAAGGTCCCGAAAAGTTTTCGCACCCGAAAAGCCGTAGCAAAATCTCAAACCTTATGACTACAGAGCTGTTTTTTCCACATATTCTTAATATGAACAGAAATTCCCTTCATACAAGAAGTTTCAGGCGTATACAACTCTCTGTCTTTAAATACTGATTAACTAAAAATGGCTTTCCAGGCCCCAAACGTTTCCGGTGCTTTCGAGAAAGAGGCCCCTGGGCCGTTGCTCGCAGGGAATATGGTCGAAACGCTTACAGGTACCACTAATACCTACTCTCGTCCCCAAATCTATTTTTAAATAACAGCGTCTTTGACTGTCATTACTGTTGGGTGTTACAGCTACATTCTGAAACCATTTCCTTCACTTTTGTAACAAGAACTGCGTTGGGATTTCTAGATTGAAATGGGAGGTCGAAATGTGTACAGATCTCTCTAAGCATCCTGACCTTGAAAGTTGGTAGCTTCGCCTCTCGATCTTGCAAACGTGCACAGATCGTAAATATCGTACAAGATTGGGTAGGTCAAGCCGACTTTCCCCAGGACAGCTTCCCTTGTTTCTCTCAAATGCTCCCCGTCTACACTAACTTGCAGCGTACTCCTCTACTAAAACGTCCTCCTCTGTGTCTGTATCTAGCTCACCTCCACTCATCAACTCTATTCGCTTCTGACTTCCCTGTTTTATGCTTGCAGACAATCTCGAAAAGAAACCTTGAATTTAACACTTCGAGAGCCACTCCGTTCTATCAAACATTCTCTCTCCGTCTATTGTGGAGGCAGTCTGCATATCCTTCGCAACCTGGGCTGGATCTTCTTTCTTACCAGTGTCTTGCCCGATGTTAAACTTCTGTATCAGATGTTGCCTAACCTTTTGAGAAAATCTCACACTTGCGTGTTTCTTTTGAAGTGCCCATCCCATTTGTAATCGTGAGGTACTTTTCAGGGATTCTGCCTCCGCCGTTGTTGCTCCGCGTGAACTTTCACTTTGCAAAGTCAATGTCTGGAAGAAAAACTATCCCATACAAGAATCTAAAACTGAGGTAAACTATTTTGCAAAGAAAAACGATGAAATGTTTTAACGCCTGTGTTATGTAACAAAAGGTGTGTAAGAAAGTTACAATTCGTTGTACGCACCTGAACCGACTTGAACAAGAACATCATACATTTGATGGCTGTAGCCATTTCAAAATTCACTGAATATCGGCTCTTTGCCCCTTTCTGGCTCCTACCAGGACGCCCTTGATGTGCTGGATACTGANTGAAAAACTGTCCCATATAAACATCTAAAACTGAGGTAAACTATTTTGCAAAGAAAAACGATGAAATGTTTTAACGCCTGTGTTATGTAACAAAAGGTGTGTAAGAAAGTTACAATTTGTACACACCTGAATCGACTTGAACAGGAACACCATACATTTGATGGCTTTAGCCATTTCAAGATTCACTGAATATCGGCTCTTTGCCCTTTTCTGGCTCCTACCAGGATGCCCTCGATGTGCTGGATACTGACGGGCTGTTCTGGGTCACCAGAACTTCCCATATGCGTGCCTGTGCTTGGCACATACGGACATTTGTGCGACAAGCTACCCGTCTAAATCAAAAAGGCCAGCCCTCACCAAGATAAGCTGTCCCTCTGTTATGGTCTCTTGTGGCAAATGGATGGAAGCAAGGTGACTTTCTCTGGAGTCACTGCATTGAAGCTAATGATATCCGATGTTCCTATTGAACCCCACAAAGGTCTGTACGCGTGCGCGATAAAAAGCACAACATTTTGTTTTGAGATAGGTATCCATTTAATCTGATTTGTCAAACACGGTGGTAAAATTTAATCATGTAAGCTAGGCTTTAGCCAAAACTAGCACTACACAACTAGCACTGAAATTTCCTGCCAAAAAAGCCTCTAAAATTAAATTACAAAATTGATGCTAAACGAGGCCACCAAAATTAGTTATAAAATTGCCTTTTCCTGTTGTTGGGCGGTCGCTTCAACGGGTAATAAAAAAAAGCCAAAATTGATTTTTTTTGATATTGATTCTTGCCGCGCAAACTATTTCAAGTTACTAAATATTTAACTTCGCTCATAAATGATACGGATATATTAATCCACAAAAACCTACAAAGTTAAGCCATGTTGCCTTTCAACTGTCAGTTGCCAAATAGAAGATAATAAACAGAATAGAAGCTCATTGAATTGAATACATTGGTCACAAATTGTCCATTTCAGAGTTCATTGTAGAAGCCTTTCACACGTATTGAAAGCTGAATTTTACATGTTTAAGTTTTAGAACCCTCAGGCCCAGTTCAGACGTCGTGCTTTTGCCGTGCTGAGCTAAATTCAGGAATTAAGTTTGACAAAAGCACGGCTGGAGCACAGCGTCTGAATCAAACTTTTGAATTAAGTTTGGCAAGCAATGGAGTTCGACAAGCCTTGCCGTGCTTCACGACTCTGACACGGCAGCAATTCAAACGTCGTGCTTCTGCCACGCTAAACAAAATTCATAAATTATATTAATGTCTTCTGGTGAGGCTGCATTCCCACGGGGAGTTAGGAGGAGAATTGTTACAAGGTATCAGTATATCCCAAATTTGGTTCAACTCTGTCACAACGTCTGAATCAAAGTTGTTTTCCTGCTGTTTTACCATCAAACCTAATTGAAATTTAGTTCGGCACGGCAGAGGCACGACGTCTGAACCGGGCCTAAGTGCATGCAAATATTGAATTACACATATTTCTGTTTAAAATCATCAGTAGAAGAAAAGCTAGATGCAAAAACATGAAAGAGTCTCCCGATTATATAGACCAAGTTTTACAGGCAACCAAATTTGCATAATACTTTGGAGCCGCCACATCATTTCCCAACGATTTCATCACGGCACAGTACAAGGGAACAAATAAGTCACCACTTTCAGCTACTTAAGCAGTTAGTAATTTTTATTTTTGTGTGATTGTTTTTATTCTAGACTTAAGGTGAAATGTAACAATGCTAAAGCGTTTTGAATGGGAACTTGCGTGACAACCTAATTTGCATAATGATCTGTCAGATTCACACAAAGCACAAAAAGTTCGAAGTCGCTGTGGGAAAGGAAGATAAAAAGCGCAAGGTATTTTTATATTTA